ATTTGCTAGGAGTGAAAGTTTTCCACAGAATCAATTTTTTAAAGGTAATGAACGTAGTGAGTACTCTTATATAGATCTTGCTGATTTTTTTTCAGGAAAAACTCTTAAAATTTGTTCACGCTCATTTCTGTTTTTTCGCGATTTGACTTGTGATTTCTTTTTAAGTTCACTTGAACAGCAAAATTGTAAAGTTCACGAAAAACGTGATCGACGTCTAATTTCGAAAATGATAATTAATTATCAGATTTCCCAACGTAATAAAAATGTTACCTATTGATCTAATTTTATCAATTTGGGTTGATATTAACAAAAAAATTGTCCATCACAAATTATTTTACAAATTTAAAGAGCTTTAAGGCAATCTAATTTTTTCTCCAGAGTTCAAAAATTGAAGTTGTTTGAAAAAAAAGACAAGTCGTTTTTTTTTCAGATTTCTTGCGTTCATTACTCCTTTCTATCTTTCAGTTGGGTATGTTTGTTCTTGACGCAAAATTTTTAGCGCCCTTTGTTACTTTTACCGATACAGCAAAAGTTAAAAGCGAAAGTTACCGATAAAGCGAAAGTTTTCTAAAGAGTTAATGTATTTATTTATGACGCAAAACGTTAACGGAACTGTTACCGTCTATCATGTTTTTTTTTCAAATTCTTATTCAAATAGATTTTTAGACATTTGAATCATGATTATTCATCTTTTGGCGTTAATAGTTCCAAGATGGATCCAGCTAACGGCTGATTTACCCGTTGGGCAAAAAATTGTATTCTTCTTTTTTTTTTTCAGAACATCAAATTTTTGTTTGCAAATTTTTTGTTAGTAATTCAACGAATGCAAATTAAATGAGAGAGCAAACTTCCCCAAATTTAGAAGAAAAGTCTGTCCTAATTTTTTCTTAATTTGCTTCATTAAACGTACTGCAATTCGTCGACCTTATTCCCAACAGTAGATAACTAATCGAAAAAAAAACGCCCATGAAACCTACTTTCAGTTAGTTCAAGCAACTTTAACGCTAAAGCACAAAACCAGAAACTTTGTCACTCTATCGAATCGACTTTTGGAGGTTGTAGACTAGGTCAAAAACAACATTTTACGATATTGAAAAAACCCTTATTGAACTTTATAGAACGTATTTAATGCTAATACGCGAACCTGCCATGATAGTTTAAAATAAAACTTAAGACATCGAAAAAAGGAAATTTTGACTCGTAACTTCTGGTTTTTGAACTTCTGGTTCTTGTTGAACAAAAACTAAATTTTACAGTACGGGGCAATACAATTAATAGAAAAACTTTGAAAAATTTTTAAACGTCAACTATAGAAACAATTTACTCAACTTATGTTACTACTTTGCATTGAATGCTTCAAAAAAATTTTTTTACTGGTAATACAATTTTCAAACTAATTATGAAAATTTTTTGAAAATTTAAAAAATAAATTTTTTTATCTGTTCACGGATGTATTGAAATTGTTAACAAAAAATTATATTACTGTCAATAACATGATACACAAAATTCTGGGGAAGTTATGTACCGATTAAGTAGTATATAATCGTACCGATTAAGTAACCGTTTCGATTTAGTATGTAATCGTACCAATTATGTACCGATTAGGTTACATAATGCACACAAAAAAAAGTTGAAATAATTTGAGCACAAGATTTGTTTTGCGCTTAATAAGTTTACAACCACTTTTTGATACAATTTCTAAACAAACTGTTTTATAAAAATTACAAACTACTTAATCGGTATCGCCATTGAAAAAAGTTAGACGTACAGTTTCTATTTGAAGAATTTTGTTTTCTATTTTGAAAGTTTTTATTTTGCAAAAAAAATTTATCTTCACAGAGGTGAAGCTGATCTCCGTACCACTTGCGATACAAAACAAGAGAGCAGCTTAGTCGAAAAAAATTGAACCTTTTTTTGGTTTTGGTGGAAGTGAGTTTTTGTTTTCTTTGTATCCTGCAGTTTTTGCAGTGTCGGAGAAATCATGATACAAAAATGCATAACAATTTTTGGAATTTTTTAGCCAGAATTTGAGAATTAAAAACTTCAAAATTCAAAATTTTCTGCAGTAAAATTTTTGAAATTTCTTTGAATTTTTCAAACCATTTTTTTCTCGTCTTTCTTGTCATTTTTCTAAAAACACTGCATATTTTACTATGAAAGTCGAATATGGTTGGCACTTTCTGTGCTACTTTACTTGCACAGTAACTAAATTGTTTGAAGTTAAATTAAATTGCTTGAATTACTGCTGCGATATAAACAGCGATGGTTTTGAAGACTGTTACCTGCAATAACTGAAAAAAATACCGGAAATTTTTAGAAATCAAACAGAACTTTTTGACAGGAAGCCATATTTTTGATAGTTATCAAAATTTCTTTCAAACTCTGTTTTTGCTGTCTGAGTAATGAAATAATTTTTTTAAATTTATCACAAACTTAGGTATTTGAAAAATTTTAAAAAATAACTCAAACTTTTTCCAAACCTATTTTCTCTTAAGAAATTTTTGTAAATTTTTATTTTTCTGAGGAGTTGTAACCTGTGCTGTTGTTTTTCAATTTGTGCTCAAAAAGGAAAGCCTGGCCAATCTGCCGTTTGAAAATGGTTCATGATTTCTCCTATACTTTTGTAAAATCCAGTACAACTTGTTATTGACATTTTTAATAGCAGTTTCAACCTTCGTTTTCATTGGCCAAAACAGTTTTTAAATCTTCCAAGTTTAAAACTCAACACAAATTTTAGCATTATTTTTATTGGTGTAAGGTGCCTTAAAACTGGTAAATAACTTTCAAAGGAAGAAACCAATATTAGAAAGAAAATAAAAGTCAAAACATTCAAACCAAAAATTAAGCTTGAAAAAAATTTCAGGCTTTTTCTTGAAAAAAAGAACTACACGACCTGAATCAGTGAGTCCAATTTGTTAACTTAAACTTAAAGACTGTTTGGCAAACGCTTCTAACAATTACCAATTGTTTTGAAGAGGATTATACTAGCAAAAAGTTCAGCGTGACTGCAACTGACGTTTCAATAAGAATGTGACGTTTCACAATCGCTCCAAAAATTAGCGATGATTCCATTTGTGATTTGCACACTATATCCAAAAAATCCGAAATTGCGCGGTAAATTAAAAAATCCAGCAGAAAACTGAAAAATAGAGAATATCATTATTAAAATAAAAATGTATCAAAAATAAAAAAAAACTATTTTTCAATAAAAACATCCAGAAAAAGATAGAATCAATTAAAAAAATAAAAGTGGAAAACACAAAAAAATCAAATTATTTCAGAAAACCATAGTTTTTGAAAAATTAGGAACGTTTTGAAAAATAAGTGCGATCTGGAGGGGAGCATGAAAAATGTGTTTTCCTTGAAAGTACTCTAAGTTAGGCCACTATGTCGATGAAATAAAAGTCGAAACAATTTGGGCCTAATCAAAATTTTGAGCTAGAAAAAAACTACAAAGAAAAAACACGGAAAACAAAATAGTAAAATTACAAATTGCTGAAGTAAATCAAAAAACTGCAACGGCAATTACGAAACAATACGCACTACAAACATTACGCACTGGCAACTAAACCGACTAAACATAGGCAGACAAATAATAGGCCGGCTCTTACTTTGAAACAGACTTTTTGCCGTTTGAAAAAAAAGTTCGTGGTCAGATCAAACTCGGGAGCTTTGCCGTCCTAGGCGTATTAGCTGACTACAGACTAAGCATGCCGGTGACAAAAAATTTGAATTAATTCTGATCCAAGATACCAAGTGATTATGTTACACTAATTGTAAACCCAAAAAATACACCAATTACTTACACTTGCTAAGCTCAAGAGCAATTATTAATATATGCTAGAAAATAATGAAGCCAAAATTAACAAGGATAGCCGGTTACTGTGCAAGTAGCATAGAATGTTAAGACCATAATTTAAAAAAATTCAACAATAAAGTTTTTTTCAAATTAAGGTACTTTTTTCTGCGTAGTGTGATAAAAAGATGTGAACGAAAAACTAGATAAAAATTCAAAAAAATTTCAAAATATACCAAAAAATTTTCTTAAAAAATCCTTAAGTAAATAAAGAAGCTTCTTGTGACATAAATTTTTTATCAATTAACAAATTAATTTCAGCGTAATTCTTGATTATTTGATAAAAGCCAAAATGACTCATTTTTGGGGTAACATTTTGGTTGAGACATTAGGAGAAAAAATTGCACCATATAAATTCTGATGAAATTCTAGATAACTTTTGCTTAATTTTAACTCTTTTTGTCTAATTTTCTTTTTTTTTGTCCAACTTTAACCCAAATTGAGAAAAACGCGTTTGAAAATTCAAGTTTTGTTCGTTTTGTCCAGATAATTTAAATCAGCACTATTTACGTAACTTTCAGCAGATGAATTTCAATGGAACTCGAAAAAAGCATTCATACCTAAGTGCATTCTTAAATGCATTATAATGTTTGATTGCACATCTGTAGTTATTAGAGCTTTTAGACTTTTTACTGAAATGAAAAAAAAACAAAAAAATCACTAAGACCTATATACGAGTCTTCACTACGTTAATTACTCAGGAAATGCAGGAATGTATAGAGCACTCATCGAAATAATTTAGATGTTAGGCCTACACATCATCCAAGAGAGCACATTAGCAAATTTACTAATTCTAATTTTCGCCATTCTGCGAATAAAATGATTAACAGCGAAAAAATGAATTGAAATGTTACAATACCGTTGCCTATCGCATGAGTAATAAAAGCAAAAACTTTCAAAGTAAATGTTTGCTTCAAATATTTCATGCTTAGTTGAAGACATGATAATTTGAAAATTGTTTTTACTAATAACAATAAGAGAATGCATTATGTCTTTACATTACTTTTTGAGGACTAAAAAAGTTAAACAATAATATATCGTGTCTAATTTTTATTGTAGTGATTCAAAAAACGTTTGCTTTAGTTTCTGCATGTTTTGATGCTATTATTCAGATGTAAAATTGCGGTTAGTCGAAAACATGAGATTTAAGAGCAAAAATCAATTCAACGTTGTTTTCTGATTTTTATTGAACAAATTTTGATTTTCGAATAGTTTTACTAAAGATCATTTATCTATTTACATTTTTGATAGATACAATTTCAACCTCTATGATCATTAGAAAAGTATCTAATTATCTGAAGAAAATGGCGTAAATGATGTGATAATTTTCAGCTGCAGTTTAAGACCAAAAACAGCAACTAGAATTGCAACAATAAGAACCGTAAAACAATAGAACTATTTTTTTTTTCGGTTTTGACGGCCGAATTGAGTTAAGTCGATGAAGAGTCCTTGAGCTTTTCTGGTTCTCTGACGAGTGATAAGAGCTTCTCCATCTTTTCGAACTCCTTTGTCTTTTTGTCGTCTTTCGGCGCTTTGGCCGCGTCTGTGGTCATTAGTTTTCGCTCTTTCGGCATTTTTCTCAAGTTTGGAGACAGTTTAACACTTTGCACGTAACCCCTGAAAAAAGCAAAAATGAGGGAAAGTTCCAAAAAAGTCGATGGTTTCCTTAATGAAGCACACGATAGGTTCTGGAATGCAAGTAAACAAAAGAATTTTGGAATGAAATGGTGAACAATAGGGCAGTTAGGTAAAAAAAAAAAAGCGGAGCTTAGAAATGAGCTGAATGGAGCTTAATTAAAACAACGAAACCACGGGGTTGGTTAACTTGGGAGTCACTGGAGTGAGGTAATGCCAGGGTATGGGGGCTGCTAGAAGTAAAAATCGGGGTCAGGGTTTGCTGCGGATGGAAGGGGGGGTGTACGTACCTGTCGTCTCCTATGATGAGTACTGGGTGTTTTGGGTTGAACTGGATGTGTGTGAGTCTGGTCTTCTTCTTCTTGGCCACCATCTGACGACACACCTCCTCGTACTTGTTCACACTCAAGTCAAACACATACACCTGATATAGACACATAAACACACAAACACATCGTTAACAAGCAGCATAGAAAGTTCCGACCATATTAAAAAAAACTACAATTTTTTTTTCAAATTGCGTCGTCTTTTGTTTTTGATGCGATGAAAGACTCTAAATGAAAGCCTAAAAATTCGATAATTAAAAAAATCAGGGAAATTTGACAACAGTTTTTCACTTACAAAAAAAAAATAAATAAAAAAAACTATTCGAACATTTCAATTTTTGCAGAATTTTTTTTAACTCGTTTTTAAACTTTTTCAAACCGGTTTTTCTCGACAGAGGAAAAATTTTTTGCCAATTTTTAAATGCCGTGGTACCTGATTTTGATTATTTGATGATCATTTTTGGTACCTGATTTTGCGTGAAAAAAAACAAAAAGAAACAAGGATAGCCGGTTACTGTGCGAATAGCATAGAATATTCCGACAGTCTTAAAAATGCAACAAATAAGTTTTTTTCAAATTATTGTGTCGTGTTTTTGGCATGGTGTTATAAAGTGTCTGAAAGAAAAACTAAAGCTTGGACATATTCGACAATGATAGTAAAATAAGCAAACTGGAAAACAATTTGCGTAACAACAAGACTAAAAAACCACAAGAAATCAAAAAAAGTAAAAAAATTTTTTGTAGTTATTCGAATTTTTGAAGTTTTGATTCTAAAAAACAGCTGAAATTCTCAAAAAAAAACTGAATTTACTCGAATAAAATAAGTTTATATGGCCTAAATTAAGGTATTAAGATTTTTAAGTCATTAAAATAAGATTCTATTGTAAATCTGCTCGCTCGCTTTATTCGCTCGAATTAAGAGAAAAAATCAAAAATTTCAAACCGGTTTTTCTCGAACCTTGAATCACGACTGAAAGGGCTTTAATATGATATATCACTCAGCTCTCTCCGATGATTATTTGTGGTAGCTGATTTTGCGTGGAAAATAAAAGAAAGAAAAAAAGAAGAAAAAACAACTAAAACACACGAATACAAAGTTCCTCCCCATTTTTCAAATGGTGGAACAACACGGATAGCACAGAATGTTCCGACCATAGTCTTGGAAAAAAAGTTCAATTGTATTTAAATTACTGTCATTTTTTTCTGGTGTGATAAAAAGATCTGAACAAAAAAGTAGAACGTCAAAGAGGCTAATTGAAAAACAGTTTTTGCAGAAAAATGACTAGAAACACGAAAACAAAATGTAAAAAGTAAATAGCATAAATAAGCTATTTTAAGCCTGCACGCTCGACTTATTAGATCGAAATTAGGCCTAAAATAATAAAAAATTCAACCCGGTTTTTCTCGACAATTTTGACGTCGTTCGAAAATTTTTGACGTCTTTCGAATCACGAATGAAAGGGCTTAAATATGATATATAACTCAACCCATTTCGATGATTATTTGTGGCACATGATTTTGCTTGGAAAACAAAAAAAGTGAACTGAAACACTCCTGATTATAAAGTTCCTCCACATTTTTCAAATAGTCGGAACAAAACTAAAACACGCCTGAATACAAAGTTCTTCCCCACTTTCAGTGTCGGAACAAAAAGATACCATAAGCAGCATTTAATGTTCCTCAAATTAATGCTCCAACGAAGATGCTTCCAAAAAATGAAACAGAGAAACCCGTATCACACGGGAAGCAAATGACTTCAACAACCCTACCAGTCACATATGCACAAATAATGCAGAATAAGGCAGAAATTTTTTTCGCCTTATTTTAACGCAGAAATTTTTTTCGGAATTTCAAAAAGCTGCTCGAATCACGACTCAAAGGGGTTTCAATATCATATATAACTCAACTGTATTAATTGTGATCAGAAGTGGGAGCGGACCCCTTAATTGTGATTTAAGGAGGAGCGGACCCCCCCCCCTCAGGGATTTAACCCACACTGACCCAAAGGGTCCTCCCTTTGGTAAGATTTTAGGACATTAGATTTTGGCTGACTGACACCAAATTTTTCTTAAGGCGCCATCATACACTAATTTTGAGGGGCAGCACGCGCCGAAAACGCAGTTTTTTGGTCGAAATTTTCCAAAAATTTCCTGAAAACGCGTTTTTTTACTAGTTTTTTTCGAAAATTTGCCAACGACGCAGAAAATCTTGTCAACATGGGGTAAAGCCTACAAAAAAGTCAACAAAATTTTCAAAATTTTAACTGAAAATCCTACCCCCTTACTTTCGATGGTGATAAAAATGATTTGTAAGTCGGCATGACAATCTTTTACTTTGTGCTTAGCTAACCCGTGCCGTCCAACATTACTTACGTTTCCGTCGGCAGTGACGGCTGCGAACACGGTGGAAGAGTAGGGAGCCCAGGCCACATCCCCGACTGCGCTGTTCAAGTCAAACACGAACATCGGCTCCCTACAACACACAGAGACTAATAAAATATCAACATTGTTGAATGAAGTCAATTCGAGGGAATAAAGAAGCAATTAAAAAATTACCATTGTGAAAAAAAAACAGGAATATAATTTGAAATTAAATTACTGCTCTTTATTGTGCGCGAAACCAGATCAATGAAAAAAAAAACAAACGCGAGGAACAGTTGAAACAATTTGTTTAAGCGTTTGCAGTTACAACGAACAAAAAGTAAAAGGTTGCGCTTACTTTTTGTGGTAAGTGTAGTCCCATATCTTCACACTCCAGTCGGCTGAACATGTCATGAATATCTTGGAGTGGAATGGGTTCCACACTGCCTTGTACACCCCCATGTAGTGGGCCTGCACAGTGTCCAGGTACTGGCTAGAGAAGGCCTTGCTACAAGTGCGCACTTTACCATCCTCAGTGCCCACAAGGTACAGGTAGTCCAGGTCTCCGTGGAATGCCATAGCTGTGCCGGACTCTGGAACAAAAACCAAACTTTCATGTTTTTCTGGAAACTCTTGTCTTGAAAAATAAAACAAAAAAAAACTGAAAATGTATTTCACAACTAAACAGTTAAAAAGTATATCATAATCAAATAGAACAACTTGGAATACAATACATAGCTGTGCCAGACTCTAGAATGACGCAACAATCAATTTTTATTGAATTTACTGTTTCAAAGTCGAAACTGTTGAGCAAACATATTACTATAGCAAGTACTTAAACAGACTTCATACTCAGTTTAAACACCGACTCTGACTGTGAATATAATGTTTGAAAGCCTGGCCATTTACAAATTATACAAATGATACCCCACAAGATGCTGATTAGAAACGCGATATGTAGAACCAGGGGCGGATCTAGGATTTTCTCGGGGGGGGGGGGGGATTCTAGGATTCTCGGATCTAGGATTTTATCGAAAATTTTGTCGACCTTTTTTTAGGTCGACCAAATTGATTTTTCGAGCTCTACGAAAGCACTAAAAAGTCTGTTTTTGCCTAATTTTCTGCGCCGCAGTCAAAAAAAAAATTGGCCAGAAAAAGCGTTTTTAAGCAATTTTTGGAAAAATTTTGCCAAAAAATCGCATTTTTTCGGCGCGCGCTTCCCCCTCAAAATTAAAAATTAGTATATATTGGCGCCAAAGGCGCTTTTAGAAAAATTTTAGGGTCCGTCACCAAAACTGGATATCTCAAAATAGTACAAAGGTGGGACCCTTTGGGTCGGCAGGGGGTCGAATCCCTGAGAGGGAAGGGGGGGGGCGTCCCCCTCCCCCTAAATCCGCCCCTGTGTAGAAAAATTTTTACTTTCTCACCTAGAGCGGGCTGGTCGACACTTTGTGTGGCTTGAGGGTCCTGCAGAATCATCTTCACATTCTGTTTCAGTTCATTCTGCAATAAAGAAATCGTGTAACCGATACCAGCTGACTTGTTCATGCAGTAATCTTTCATAGCTGAACGTATCTATCAAAACCTCCATCAAAATTTTCCTGAAAGAGTTTTCGCGAAACTATTTTTAAAAAATATATATGAATTACGTCATCTAGTTTCTAAAAGTGACCAAAAAAGGCACTGGGTTGAAAGTTTGAACTTGTTTAAGCAAATGGAGTAATTTGCAGTCTGCTGAATCTGAACTGAATGGGATAAATGTGATGAAATTTATCAGGAGTGGATCTAGGTCAAGATTAAATCAAAATTGTGTTGAACCTTTTTAGGTTATCAATCCTCCCCTGTAATTAATGACTAGGGTGCTGACCTTGACAAGGGTCCAAGAGAGTACGTATCCGTCGGAGGAGATGGAGAAGAAGACCAAGTTGGTGTCTATGTCGTCCTTCTGCCAGTTGATCTGCCACACCGGGTCAGCATGCTTCGCTTCCGCACTACTCATTATAGGCGGCGCCTACACCATAATTCATTCGCATGTTTAACAAGGATAACCGGTCGCTGTGCAAGTAGCACAGAATGTTCCCACCATATTCGTAGAAAAAGTGTATTTTTTTTCGTTTCTTTTCTTCAAATTAGTGTGTATTTTAGTGCGTGGGATGATTTGAGAATTATAAAACCGCATAGAAACTTAGTGAAATAGACATTATCGACAGCATGTCTTAAAAAAGAAAACTTAGCACAAAGTTTTTCATTTTTTAAAGAAAACCTTTATTGCAAAGGAAGCACTGAATTATGCAACTTATTAGATCTAAACTTATTAAAATTAAGTTTTTTTTAACCTAAAAGACTAAATAAATGTGAAATTCCATATAACATTCGTTATTCGATCGCTTTACTCGCTCGAATCGAAGTTTTTCTTGTCACAGGGACAACTCTTTGAAAATTATATAATGTACTTCGAATCATGACTGAAAGGGCTTTAATTTGGTATATCACTCGATCCATTCAGATGATTATTTGTGTACCTGACTTAAGGTGAAAAAAAAAAGGATTTAAATTGTCGGAACGATAAAGAGATCGTCGGAACACGAGAGAGGATGACCAAGTTAAATAAATTTATATAAGTCAACCAGAATTCAGTATTAAAAAAATTCAATTTTTTCTTCATTAGCCTCCGGCCCTGCTAACTTCAGGGCCTTCATGAAGGAGTGTTAGTGTCATCTGTTTTGCCTTAGCATTTCTCATCTTAAGGAGGTGGATGACTTTGGGAACCCTCAGAACGTAACCGAAGGGGGATTCGAACGCACGAACACAAGAGCAAAATTGCCAATAAAGTTGTAACAACTCAGACAGTGTTTCGAACAGTTAAAGACTTTTTATCTGTTGGAAACTTTCTTCTACCATTTGGTCATACTGTCATTAGTTTTCCCCCACAAGGAGGGACTATATATGTCAAAGTATATCCGTTAACTGACGAAGTAAATTAGAAAATTTGGTACTTAATTAGAAGTATCGTCTCATCGTTTTTGATGTATGCCGTTCAAAAAACCCGTTCAGAGTGTGGTTCCGCTAAACCACTTGAAATCTAGACGTAGTTCAAGTGGATGAAAACAAAAAGAAAACATTTCTTCGTTTGACTAAGCGTTCAAGTTTTCTATAACATGAAATTATCAATTACCTGTTAACAGCTTTTCTGTCTGACTTTCATAAAGAACCATAAGTACTTTTTCAATACCAAACATCTAGACGAGGTGTTTAACGGGGACAGACTTCTAAATGAGTACCTTTAAAAAAACGCTGTTTACCGGGCCCAGAGATCGTTCTTGTGGCTTTTTTCTATACTCCAACTTTTCATGCACGAGAAGTTTATTCTCGAATATTTCATTTTCCAATTATCATTGTATCAATACAACATCTAAGACATAAGTTGAAAATCATTTAATAAATTTTTGTGACAAAGCGTTGCTTGACTAAGATGCATCGCTAACTTTCTAGTGAGTTAATTTTATACTCAGACATTAAATGGACAATAATGATGACTACACTTAACACACTGAAGTTACCCTATGTCTTCCAAGTTTCTAGAAATAACGCCACTTATTTCAAATTACTTCATTAGAATCTGCTTGCAACTCATTTTTACATGCAAAAATTCGTACAAACAAATTTCTTACCTCGTTTTAAGGATCAAGGTTCAGTATGAAAACTTTTTAATGATCTTGATTAACTCAAATTTCACGTATTATAACTAAACTTAAGGAATAGCTCAAATCCTAGAAAAAATACAACTCCCATTGAAATGATCTTAATTAACAGAAAAAAACGAAGAACATAAAACATTCCAAATTAACGTGCATATAATTAGGTTTGATCAAATGTGAACCCTAGTAAGTCTAAACAAACGTACAAGTAAACTAAATTAAATTTGCATAAGTGTGAGCTAATTAAATGTGAACTTAATTAAGTTTGAATAAGTATGAACTAATTAAGTTAAGTGTGAAACTTAATTAGGTTTGAATATTGACCTGATTTTGTAGCATGTTGTACACAGCCACGTGACCACTGTATAGTCCCACACAGATGAGGTAGGGGTAGGTGGGGTGTACATCCACACACATCACCCCGCTCTCGGTCTCGAACACGAACTCCGGGTAAGAGGGGTTCTTCAGCGAGTAGCACAGCATCAGACCCTCGCCCTGCTTCAAGAAGTCATCTGCAACAGAAAATACTAAAATTTGAAAAAAAAAATACAAAAGAAGGTTCACGTGACGAAAATACTCAAGATTCACGGGGCAGAAAAGCAAAAAATCATATCACCAACCTTGTGCAAAAAGACAAAGGCAAAAACTTCATTAAAATGAAGTCAGAATTTTTTTTCGAATTGGGTAGTTTTTGTTCGTGGTGCGATGAGAGGAGATGAATGAAGGCCTAGAATTTAGGCATATTCAATAGTAATAGTAATTTAGGCACATTTGACAAAAGCTTGTTTTTTCTTTTAATTTCCAAGAAGGCGACCAAAAAAAGTTCAAGTGACACCTAACTTTGCGTGGAAGAAAAAGAAAAGGTTGAAAAAAAACTAAATTACGCTGAGGAACGCTGGTCTTACAGAGGTCGGAACCAAAAAAACATCGGAATTCAAGTAGCAACAAAATTATATAAGACGCAATGGAAAGATAAGTACAATCATTGCGAGATCCAAGACTTTGTAAACTCGAAATGATTGTTCCATAGTCTAAATTTTTTCATTTTAAATATACAGGGCACAAAATGGATTCGAAACCACAAAAAAAGGACGAGGAACATTAAAAGTAGAAAAAATGACTGCCAAAATAGATAATTAGATTTCCAGAGTGCATTAAGCAGAAGATATGTGTTGATGAACTACTCCACCTTGTTGATTGGCAATTGCTCTCTGATAAAAAATAAGAAAAAAAACAAAACGTGAGTCAGAAAAAAAAACAAAATTCCAGAAATTTAAACCAAAAATGAACTAAAGTATGTTTAATCAAAACACAATTTCAAGGATATTTCAGAGCATCAATTAAAAATAGACATTTTTCATTGATAAATTTTCTACATTTTATCTGTAAAAAATGCAAAATTGACCTTGAAATTTGCTTTCAGAAAAGTCAACTAAACTGAACAAAAAATTAATGAACAAATTTGAACAATTTTGCAAATTTTTGAAAGTTCTGTGCAAACGAAATATTGCAATACTAGTTATGCATTCGGTTCTGTAGGATCAAAACAGCATTCAAACTAACGCATGCTAATTTTTCGAAAATAATAATGACGGAAGAAGACCAAAAGAAACGCAAAGTTTGTAAAAAAGGATCAGGTGCAAGTAGCACAGAAAGTTCTGACCATATTCATACAAACTCCAAAAAAAGTTCTTCAAATTATTAAGTGCTTCATATTAGTGTTTTTTGTACGTAGTGTGATGATAAAACTATACCCACGCATTAAAACTTAGTAACTTAGGCATAATCAACAACAGTTTTCTCAAAAAAAGCATAACAAAAAAAAATTCAAAAAAAAATTCGAATTTTTTTTCTATTTTTTGAACAGTATTTTTTTTTAAATTCTAGCCAAGGAAGTGCCAGTAATAGCTTTTAAAACTAGTTTCTGTCTGGAAAAACCAAGTTTTTTTTAGCCTACTTGACCAATTTAACAAAATATCATCACTTTATTCGAACCGATTTTTTTTGACACTGAGATTTTTAAAATTTCGTCACGACTAAAAGGTATTCAAAATTATATATCACTCAACCCAGTCCAATAATTTTTAGTGGTACCTGATTTTGCATGGAAACCAAAAAAAAAGAGAAAAAAAGACACCCGAATACAAAGTTCCTTCCCATTTTCAATGGTCGGAACAGCAATTTGCAAATCTGCAACAAAACGAATATCAATATTCATTTTTATATTTGGGCACAGGCCGCTACCTAAGCTGCATAATTCAATAAAAACCAGCTTTAGCAGTACAATAAAACTTACGGCAAGTTTTCGCTCAAATTTTCGAAAAAATTTTCACGCGGATATCAAGTTTTTTATGACTTTGCAAAGCACGGACAATAGGCTGTTGAACGCTAAAAACGCAATTTGCTTCAAAAATTAAGCTTGAAAGAATAGCTTATTTTTTTCCCTGAAAAATGCATTCTTTATGCAAGATAATCAAATATTTCAATTTGGCGAAATACAACAAAAAGTAACACTGGTTTTCATCAAGCTACTGAGTAAAACAACCCAATACTGAGAAAAACAATTAAAATCACGAGGCCGAAAACCATTTCAATAGTTTTGATGTACAAAAAAACACTCATCGAAAAATTGTTCAGTCATAAATCTATTGTAAAAACGCTAGAACAGAAAAGGAAAGAAACGCTAAGCAACTAGAAATCTACAGGTTGGCAAAATCTGCTAGCTACTGTATTCTGAGAAGAAAGAAACGGAAAAAACTCTTGTTTAATTTGCAGAAATCGTTCATTAAAAAAATTCAAAAAAATTTTTAATAAAAAAATACAAATTTGACGAGGAAACTGCCACTTGTTTCGCCCTTGATATCACCTTCCAAGCAATATTGATTCAATTGTAGTTTACTTTAAGCAAAAAGTCACAAGCCTTGAATAACAAAGAAACGAATACATTTAGATAGATTTTTTAAATAGAATGTTGTAATGAGGGTGAATTAGCCTACATGATCCGTATCCGACAGTGAACAAGTCAGAATAGAGTGGGTTGAACTTGAGGGCAGTGACTGCCAGCCTCTTGGTCCTCTCGTTAGAGAATGTCCACAGAGGCAGAAGAGTTCCATTCCCATTGTCCTTATACTCATCCGCTGGATCCTCGTAATACTTGAAGTCTGAAACAAAATATCATTTGTAATCGGTTATAAAACTATCACGTAATTGAAGTACCAGCTAGCCGCTGCATTGGCTACAATATAAAAGAATCTGCTTTTTTATTACGACCATCCCCCTTCCCCCAAAAAAGATGTGGGAGCTAACCACAATGACGCAGGGGGGATTTTTTGCTAAATTTTAGTAAGTCAAAGTAAATTTTGTATTAAAGCCCTATTTGCATGGTATCACATTAAAGCCCTATTGGCCGTGATTCGGGTTCGAAAAAAACTCAACAAAGTCGAGGAAAATTGGTCAGACGTTTTTCGTTTTCCAGAATAATTAAGAAGCAGGAGAAAGATTTTCAGGCACAATCACCTCATTCTGACAAATTTCTAGCTAACTAAATTGTCTTGCATTTCATAAAAAATTTGGAGAAAAAACTTTTGGAAAAAATTCAAAAAAAAATTTGGAAAACTATTTTTTTCAAGACTTTTGAATTGATTTGCATCGAAGGTTCTGTCCTACTTCCACAGCAACCGGCTATCCTTGTTATCTACCTAAGTCACAAAAAAAACAAAGAGTACAAAAAAATCAAAAAACCAGAAGATTTTTAACAATCTAAGTAGTATATATGCTGGATATCGCTGGTAGGGGTGGGGACCCCCATGTATTAAGATACGCTATAGAGAATCCGGTCAGCACCCTATGTGTTACTATGAAAACACACCGTGCTACCTGCACAACAACCGGATATTTTTTTCAGAAACATTTGAAAAGTACCCTCGGATATTTCGTCGAATGTGTTCTGGTTGACCATTCTCTCCAGAATGTGCAATGGCTGTCCCATCGATCCCTTCAGTTCATCCCCGTCTTTGTCTGCCATCACTGCCAGTTTGTGCTTCCCATCATCCTTGCCTTTTCCATGGTGGGGAGTCTTACCAGCTGCGGCCGCTTTCGCCTTCTGCAAACATCAAACAAAAATTAACTCCAAGTCTAATTTTTTTTTACCTTATGTCTCCTTCTGAAGATTAAAAACAAAAATTTAGACCTCTTTCCGAGCAATTCGCCGCTATAGATAAAGATTTTTGTTTCATTTCGGGTTTTATTACTGTAACTGTTGAATAAGAAAAAGCGAAACACTTGTCAGTAAACATTTCCAAGATGAAATAAAAAAAAACATTTCAAGCCAGAGAAGCTTAAATCAACATCTTTTGATCTATGTGTAATGCAAGGGGAAGCTATTTATTTTAATGGCTTGGCCACGAAGTTGGTGTTATAATATCTTATCCCCCACGGGTGTGTGTTACGATGGGGACTTCACATCGATGGGGTACTAACTTCGTTTTTGGCTAGATCCTCCATGTAGGCATCGTATATCTCCCACTGGTTGGCATTGGCGGAGAAGTTGTGACGGGGAGGGGGCTCCGTCTGCACGTACCGCTCCTAAACAACACAAACATAAAAATAATAAAAAATGAAATTAAAAAAATGTTTGCTATTTAGATTCCACTCACTGTAAAATTCAGAACAGTTACAAAACGAAATCTCCTTGAAAGAAATTCGTAGATCTTAGTAGCCCGTTTTCAGGAGCCTCTAATAGTAACAACATACAGCGATAAACAATGGTAACCATATGCTGTCTTACACAATTAATTTACGCAGAAAGTTTGCTCACAGAAAACTGTGTCGAAATACTCATTTCAGGTGATCAGTCTTTTAAACCCATTGGGCTGCATTATGAATTTATCTTTTTGTTGAAATTGTGATTACAGAAACATCAAACGGTGAGTTATCTTCAATTTTGTCAAAACATTTATTTTTTCGCTATTTTCTGGGTCAAATAATGCTTTTTAATGCAAAAAAACGCACCCTGGTCAGCTTCAAACATCCATCCAGCCTTTAAACTGAGCGGCGAAGACTAACTATTTCTTCACTGCTGACTTACATGAAGATGTGGATAAAACTATTTGTGCTAACCCTGAGAGGATTGTTGTAAGTCTGTGAAGCCCTCTCGCTGTAGTTGAACTGATTCGCAGGCTTCACGTCTTTCTTGTTCTTGATTGTAATCTGCTGTGTTTCTTGCTCATCTTTATCGGGCTAAAATTGCACCACTAATGAATATCCCAAATGGAATAATTAAAGGGGCGTTACTTTTTTGTAACAAAAGTGTCAGACCCAACAAGTAACACATACATTAAAGCTTTGAAATGCAAACTTACATGGATCACAATTATAAAAATTGTAAATTGCTTCGAATACGATGGTTCAAAAACAACCTTCTATCAATTTCTTCTACTCTAGTATCTTCTTTTCTTCTGGTTTTGAAAACTGTTTCTACATTTCTATTAACTAACTGATGCTCAAGTTCATTTGAATTGGGAAGCATATATAATCGGGACAAAAAATGAGATCTAAGGGGTTATATTTTCCATCTAAACAGATTTAAAACTTGGGTAAATTGTATAGTGGAAGCAGCGCCAAGAAGCTGCGCAGCGCGTCACAAGTCAACCGAGCGACGCGCAAGTACAAAATTGGCGACAGCTATTGAATTTACTAAACGGTGCTCAGTCTTTTTAAACAACGCTCAAAGTCCAAATTAACATTCATCCAGCCAGAACTTTCTTTTAATTTTTAAGAAACTCTGGATTCAGCACAGGTGCCTCAAAATGCAAAACAAAATGTTGTAAACGATAAAAATCAAGAATGCTTGCCATTAGCAAGCGTTATCATGTCGACACATAGACAAAAAATTGTCGGCCAACCAATTGTTTCTTTGATTCTTAGTGATTAGGACAATTTTCACTATAATTTAAATTCCATTTGATGTGATTTTATGTATTCCTGTATAAGTCGGATAACTAAAAAAATGGATTTACAATTTTAGGATGCATTTTTTTTAAAAATTGTATTATCATCCTTCTCTCTGTCACAAGAAAGCAATGAATCAAACCATGTCTTAAACTTCCATCACTGCATTCAGCAAATCAACGGAAACCAAAAAAATAAAATCAGTTTTTGCTAGCTTTCATATCGGCGTAAACATTAGTTTTTGTAATCTTTCTAGGGCTTCATTTGTTTACTGGCATATCTGTGAGGAAAAAATTTGAGAGCGAATTCATCGGGAATGCGCATAAAAAAAGGTCAAAAATCGTTTATTGCTTTAATAAGGTGGCTATAGCTAACGCGCTTGGATAAAGCGAACATAGCTAAAACAGGCTGTTAAAATTTGCATTAACCTTATTTACAATAATATTTGTAATAGATGATTTTGTTTGTTATTCATTTGTTCGACTAGGTTTATTTTTTCCCGAGTTTTTTGGGGATAAAGACTCTGTTTTCATTGCTGAAATTTTTTTTTGACGAAATTGAGTCTTTATCCCCAAAAAACTCGTGGAAAAATAAACCTAGTCGTACAAATGAATAACAAACAAAACCATCTATTCAAAATATTATTGTAAATAAGGTTAATGCAAATTTTAACAGCCTGTTTTTAGCTATGTTCGCTTTATCCAAGTGCGTTAGCTATAGCCACCTTAATAGAGCAATAAACTATTTTTGACCTTTTTTTATGTGCATTCCCGATGAATTCGCTCTCAAATTCTCTTTTCAGCGTAAGAACTCGCTATGCAGCTTGCACATTTCATGCACAGTTGCTGCATCTTGTAGCTTTTTATTTTTTTTATATGAATAATCGGAAGTAGCATGCCGAGGGGAGGGGGCGGTCCCCCCGCAATTCTGGTTGCAATATGCTAATATGAAAAATATGAGAGAACGCGCGCCAAAAAACCGCCTTTTTTAACCTGTTTTTTTTAATTTGCCTGCAGCGCAGACAATTTTTGAGTAAATAGGGCTCGTATAGTATTCCGGAGAACTCAGAAAATGAAATTGTTCGACCTAAAACCTAAAATTTTTGAAAAACCGCCCCCCTGAAAAAATTTCTGCGCACGCCACTGCTAAGCGGACACGGGAAGGTGAAATTGAATTATGGAAGAATTTTCGAAAGTATAGATTTTCAACAGTAATTTGTTTTTAGCTTTTTTTAGTTAAATTTTACCGGTAATGAGCTTATACAATAAAGCTTGCAATATTCGCTTACCATTTCTTATTTTTCACACCTTTTGTGCTAAACGTCATACAGAAGCGAGGCGGAGCTCCGCAAAACTTGCGATGCAAAACACACATTGCGCTACAAAATATTGAATGAAAAAAATACAAAAGTAGAAAAAAATTCTGAAAAATTTTGTTGGAAAAAATTACTTGAAAAAATAACTTGGCAAAAGTTGAAAAATTACAACTACAAAAATTCTATTCATATTTGTATCGGATGAAGCTCAAAAACAGCCCCTAAAACTGAAAACCAGTTACCGAGCGACAACAAATGCGACATCTCGGATTTTTGGGTCGAAACCTGTTGAGCCGAAAACAAAATTGTTATTATGAAAAATTTCAGAAAATTTAAACTTGTTATAAACCATCCAAACAGAAATTTTAAACTTGTTATGAATCATCAAAAATGAACTATAATCCCAAACGGATATAATTTGCCCTCAAAATTACGCAAAATAAGTTGACAAGTCGATATAACATAAACTGAAACTGTTTGAATATAAAAAAAATTAAAAAAAAAAAACGCAGTCAGACATGGTAAATTTGTGAAGTTTCAGTTATAGTAAAAACTGTTTAAATTGGAAAAAACAATGCTCTGAAAAGTAAAAAAAAAACAGGCCAGATAAAAAAATGGCGTTTAAAAAAACGGAGAACGAACCGACAGAACCTAAGACGAAAACACCGAACCCGAAAAAATTGATAAACCTGAAAAGGGCTTAACAAACGGGCTACGAAACTAATTACTACTTAATGTGATAGAAGTGAAGATCCTACTTAAAAAAATGAAGATCCTCTAGAAGTGATCCAAAGTTGTGGACAAAGTTGTTTACGGGAAAAAAGTCTAGTACCGGGTTGCAATAACCTTGCTTATCGCAAGGGTAATTATGCATGAAAAAAAAACTTTGAAAGATTCTGCCAGAAAAGAGTCTCGAAAAAACTTCAGTGTTAAATAATGTCTGATAGTTTAAATTTTTCATGCGACAAACCTTCCGATGCCAAACTCTGTTCTCAAAAGGCGTACCGCTTGTTCTAAATTGTAAATTTGGAGATAAGTCTTTAAACATGTCCAAATTTGTGAGTGGAATCCACTCGCCAAATTGTTGAGGAATTCTCATACAAATACTTGACGCATTTTATTGAGCTACATTTTATTAACAGTAAATTTTATTGACTCGTTTAGTGTCTCGCGGAGTCGACAACGAGCGAAACAATTTTGAACTTAGTACTTCGCAGAGACTTTCTAAGCGTTCTTCGCTTCCCGGTTTTTACACAGTTTTTGGAGTTTGAGCGTTATTTTTAAACGAGTCCGAGAGTTACCCAAGGTGTCATTGGTGTAGTAAACTCGTCCTGAAAATCAACAATTGAATTCTCACAATAACAACATCTAAACTTTCATATTACCTATTTGGGAAAAACTTTGAATGTTTTAACTTACTCCACCAAAATTCATAACTTAAAACTATGAAGTAGAAATAAAAACGCTCGATTCTGAATGGTTGAAACTAAATACGACTTCAAAATATAGTTTGAATAACCATTCATTTAGTAAATGATGCGCCGTTCATTTAATTTGGGCGGAATACGAAAAATATTCAAAATTTTTTTCATAAAATTTCATACAGCTGCAACTAACAAGAATGATGATTAGGAGTTTTGACCTGAGCTATTTCTCTTAACAGTACTTTTAATTTAGATTATAAACAGAAAAATGAAAACATTAAAGCAAAACAACTCGTGCCAGATGAGGATGAGCATAGTGAAAATAAAAGAACCAAAGAATGATTTCTCTGAAAATGATAGGGGGGATTCTGTGCTTACGTCTCGGTTGGACATTGCAGTGGTCATACCAGACCTCATGAAAGTGCCTCCCTTTTCAAGGAACAAAAATCTAATATTAGAGGGCAATATATTTTTAAAAGGACAGTCAATGTGAGGTAAACACTGATTTTCAACCAATTTTTTTGCCAAATATTGGCTTAATTTAAAGAACAAAATGCATATTTTAAGCAAATAAGATCAATATCGAGGCGGAAAAATTGATAGATTTTGAATAAAAAACGAAACTTTTGATAGTTTTTGTTGAAATAAATCATCGATGCGATATCTTTGTTAATATGTAATTCAGAGCTATACCGGTCTAACTTAAAACTTTTCAAATGATGGCTCCTTTTTATGTACAATATTGCATCAAATCTCAAAAGTGAAAAAAATCTTCAAAAGTAAGCCAGAAACATTTTATTTTTTACAAAATATAGTTTCCATTTTAATCGTATCTGCCCACCTGTTCGTCGGCTTCCGCATCATTTGCCTGCTGAGCTCGTGTCGCATTTAGTCCACTCATGAAATCAGAGCCCACTAAAACACACGTGCAGTCAATTTAACGTTAGCCGTAAATAGCAAAACGGAACCCAAAAAAAAAACAATTCCAAGTTCGCTTTTTCCCACCTTCCTTCCACATTTGAATTCCAACTGAAAAAAAATCCGTTGTCATAATGCACTAAAAATGGCATGGTTATAAAATAATTATTGTGAACAGATTTGTTCTTCGTACTCAACATAAAAACATAACGTATTTAGACGTAAAAACACGTAAAAGTATGAAAACAAACATTTTGAAAGTTAGGGGGAGTGGAAACAACCTTTAATTTTACATGCATTTCGGAAACAATTGTTGTCCTTATTAAGTGTGAAAAAAGGTCTCAGAAGAGAAGAAAATTTTTTTTTCGAACGATTTACCTCATTTGCATTTCAGACCAATGAATTGTCGTGTATTGTAAAAACTGTGAACTCGCGTTTTTGATAATAGAATTCATGTATAAGCTGGTGCACATTGAAACAAGACTGCTTGTATCATGAAAAAGCCCTGAATGTTTCGACTGCCCCTTAAGGTCTATGGAATAGTTTTGAATGTAAATCTTTTTTAAAAAAATTAAAATAAACTTACGAACAGTTTTGAGTGCGGGAAAATTCGCTACTCAAAAAAGTAACACAGCCCTTTAAACGCCATATTGTTTAAAATCTTCAAAGTGCACATATAGGAATTCAAAGCAATGCAAAAAATCAGAACAAATTATCACAAAACTTTAGAAAAAAGATTTTTTTTTCCACATTTTTCTTTGAATTTCTTCCCCTAATATCTTAAACAAGAAGTAATGACCTTAGCGTCTCGCAAGGAAGCCCAAATAGCTTGCTTTAAGTCAACTAGGAACAATTTTTGAATCAGAATAAATCAGCGCTTAAGTGTTAAAAGCAAGAAAAATAGCGCGCTGTAATTGTACCAAATTAGTCAAATAAAAAAATTTGGAAATCCCAAACTTAACAAAAAGTCATACATGAAATAAGTTTATAAATTTGAGTTCAGGACGTCAATACTTCTCATATGGTATAAAACTCCATTGGTATCTTAAAAACTCGAAATCTATTATCTATTATATATTTAAATGCGAGCTTCACTATCTCGCCATGTTTAAGCTTTTTCAACGTATTATTTTTGCATGTTTAAGCTATATCGTATATTGCAATGGCTAAGATTTTTTTTTCGATTTTCCAATTTGATTTTAGTGGTTATTTTACCGAGTTTAAATTAAGCAGCCCAATATCGAATTAGGGGTTGCGAATTTGGCCTGCAATTTGAGTGCCCGAATCATTTTAGTTAACGAGATAAGACGATTTTTGAGATTTTTTCAAAAATTTTCAGAAATTTCAAATAACAAAATAATTTACAAAACTTGAAGTTCCCAACCCTGTAGTTGGGTGCTGTCAGAGTACTCTAAGGAGTTACAAATCTTGCCTCCAAATATGACTGTTCAAATCCTTGTAGTTTTTGAGATATGACGTTTTTTGTGATTTTTCAGAAAACTTATTTTAATTTTTTGTTCGCAAAATCTGAATTTCCCAACCCTGTAGTTGGGTCCTGTCCGAGTAATCTCAAAGATTGCGAATCTTGCCTCCAAATATGACTGCTCAATTCTTAGTAGTTTTCGAGATATGATATTTTTTGTGATTTTTTCAAGAATTTTCAGAAAATTTTATTTAATTATTTCTCAAAATTTGAATTTCCCAATCTTGTAGTTGGGGGCTGGCTGTCAGAGTACTGTAAGGAGTAACAAACCTTGCCCCCAAATATGACTGTTTAAATCTTAGTGGTTTTCGAGTTATGACGTTTTTTGTGATTTAAAAAAAAAAAATTCAGAAAAGTTATTAATTTTTTTAAGTAAAATCTGAAATTCGCAACCCTGTAGTTGGGTCCTGTCAGAGTAATCTTTAAGATATCGAATCTTGCCTCCAAATATGATTGCTCAATTCTTTGTAGTTTTCGAGATATGACGTTTTTTTGTAATTTTTTCAAAAATTTTCAGAAAACTTAAATTATTATTAGTTTTTAAAAATCTGAAATTCCCAACCCTTTAGTTAGGTCTTGACAGAGTAATCTCAAAGATTGCGAATCTTGCCTCCAAGTATGACTGCTCAATTCTTTGTAGTTTTCGAGATATGACGTTTTTTGTGATTTTTCCAGAAATGTTCTGAGAACTTCAGAAAGTTTAAATTAATTATTTTTTCAAAATTTGAAATTTCCAACGCTATAGTTCGGTGTTGTCAGGGTACTTTAAAGAGTTGCAAATCTTGCCACAAGCGACTGCTAAATGCGACTGCTCTAATGCTTTTAGTTTCCGAGATCTGACGTTTTTTGACTTTTTCAAAATTTCTCGAAGAACTTATCTACAAAGAAATTCAAAAAATTTGAAAATACTGACTTGATGAAGATGCAACCTTATTGTCAGCGTACAACCAGGCGTCTCAAATCTTGCCTCTTAATATGAATGCTCAAATCCTTTTAGTTTCCGAGATAAGACGTTTTTTTTTTTTCATTTTTTTTTTCGGGAAACTTAGGTTTTAAAAAATTCTCAAAATTTTGGGATTTCTAACCCTATAATAGGGTGCTCTTAGTGGTTGCAAATCTGGCCTCCAAATTTGTCCAGAGGCACATTAAGTTTTCGAGATGACGCTTTTAAAAAGGGAATTAAAAAATGTAAAAGTTCGAAATTACCAACCCTGTAATTGGGTGCAGTCAGAGTACACTAAAAGTTTGCAGATGTTGTTTCCAATATAAGCGGTTTTTCATGAGCTGTCGTAAAATTGCGAAGCACCGAAGGTGCGTTAAACGCTAGTTTATTTGAAAAAAAAACACCGAGCAGAAATTTTTTTTCAAAGGTCAGAACAACAAAAACCAATCAGTATTCGTGTAATGCGTCTTAAAAATTAAAATGCAACTTGAAACAATGTTGTTTTGCGTGCGAGAGCAAATGACTTGTAATCAAGTAGTAGATTTTTTTCCCATGAACAACTTTCATTACAACTTGTATTTAAAGAAGTTCTAGAATCTTTCGTTCTAGGTCCAAAGTTAACGCGGGCACCTTATTTGTATCAGACGATACGTAATTTGTATCAGACGAAGTTCATAAACAGCCCTTTAAAATGGAAATTATTTACCGAGCGGCAACAAAGGCGACAAATTTTGGGTCGAAATCTGTTGAGAAATTGAGCAAAAGAAGTTGAGATTTTGGATATAACATAAACTGAAACTGTTTGAATATTTAGAAACAATAAAAAAAGAAAAACTCAAAATCAGACATCGTAATTTTACAAATTTGTGAAGTTCCAGTTATAGTAAAAACTGTTTAAATTGGAAAAAACCCAAGCTTTAAAAAGTAAGCCAATAAAAACCCTACCAGACAAAAAAAATGGCGTTTAAAAAAACAGAAATTGAACCTGCAGAAACTAGGACGAAAACCAGGAACCCAAAAAAAATGAGAAGTTTTTTTTTGAAAAGATCATTACAATCTGAAACGGGCTTGAACTAATTAGTAGCTAAGTGATAGTACTTTTACTTGATTTTTCAACAAATTGAGCATGTCAGATGAAAGATCCTCTAGAAGTGATCCTCTAGAACTGAAGATCCAATGGACAAAGTTTTTACGGGAAAAAAGTCTAGTAACCGATTTCAATACCCTTGCTTATTGCCAGGGCTACATCTCAGAGCTACATATCATCAGAGCTACATCTCCTTCCAAAAAGAACTAACATTCTGAGAGCGCCTGTCTGGCCATTTGGTGTTTCGCATCTTCTGAATCCTTGTGAAGTAGGTTTCCATCAAGAGTGAAATGGACTGCTAGCTGGTCCACGTGAGCCACTTGCTTGAACTGATTCTCCTAAAAATAATTAGCATGATGTTTCAAGGCTTTAATAGAAGAGCTCATTTAAACCCTATCTGAACATTGATGACAAAAATAGAGAAAATAATATCTAATCTCTGAGGGAGTTTCATCATTTTAGTTCTCTAGCCTAATTCAGTCGGCTTACTTTGAAACTGAAGCGAATAATATTGTCTGGTGCATGAGGATTATTGGCAGTCAAGATACGGGTCACTTCTTCCTTAAGTTCCTGAAATGTCAAACGCAATTCAAAAAAATTAGTTCAAATTTATAAGATTTTTGCTTTTTTTCTGCTCAGTATACTCACGCCTTCTGTTAATTCCAGCTGATCGTCAGGCTTCAAAAGCTGCTTTGGTTGCATCCAGTCTTCCATGCCAGCATAGCCGGACTCTTCGTGACCTTGAGACTGTGATTCATCTTCGGTCTGAACAAAATTAAATCATCCAAAAAAGATATTTTATGTACGAGATAAAATTACCAATCGAATGTGTGTATTGGTGAGAGGTGATGATCAGATTGTATTCTGAGCGTGAGCCACACGTGTGATCAAACAAGCCAAACGGCGAAGCAAAGACTGGAAACTAAAAAGCAGAAGAGAATAATAAATGTTTCAAAACGAGAGGCAACAGATATTTAAATTTATTCAATTGTCAGAAAACCTGATTTTAAAATGAATTTAAAAATTAGGTAAGTTTTAACTCGTCGCAAAGGAAATTTTGAGCTAAAAAAATTCTAACATATTTATTATTTGGTGCAGAGGCAAGCTAGAAATTTATCGGGGGATTTCTGAGATTCCCGGATCTGTCCCACTTGGACCAAAGGTAACGCGAGTGCTCTCGCACTCTAATGTCTGCAGTTCGAGTATCGCCCGAGCCTTGTTTTTTCGGAGTATGTATGTATGAAAAATTACATTGTCGGGTTTTCGTTAGTCTGCTCAATTTTTGTCGGTTTAAATTTCGAGGCATTGAACGTTCTTCTAACTTGAACAAAATTACTATAATTTACAGTCGTTCTGTTATTTGTAAATTCATCAATTCGGATTTTGAAAATATGAGTTAGTACATTTTTATTTATCTTATTTTTTGAAACGTTTTAAATCAGTGCCTGAATATGTTGAAAGATCTATTATTAAAAATAGTTTATTGATCATCTTAATTTTTAACCAAAACGAAGTTTTTGTTCAATTCTGTGCAAATTAATCATACAAGTGTGGCATAGCTCAGAACACAACCTACCAAGGTGCTATGAAGTCCAGGAATTTGACTCACTCTAGTTTTTCGGCTCTAAAAACAAAAAAGCTTTTGAAACTGCCACAAAACTGCATTCAATCAAATATAAATGTTTTTTTTACCTTCTTCATTGCTTTGCTAGGTGCCATTTTTCAAATATCTGAAACCAGTTTTGTGCATTTTCTAAGACTAGTGAAGACTAAGGAAAAGAGGACCAAGTTAACATCCCCCCAAGGACCGTCGTATGACGACAGGGTGGAGCCCTGTCGTCATACGATGGTCCCGTGCTTAGATTGGATAGGGTCATACCAAAGCTTTAAAAACGCATCAGCAAACAGTTTTAAATTAAATTGAGACTCTAAATTTTGAGTGCATTACCTCATATCTCTTCAAAGTTTGAGATATTTAGTCTGCAAATGGTTTAAGCTTGGGTTACTTAGCCGAAGTATCAAGTAAAAGGGGAGCAATGTCGTCATACGACAGTCCCGTGCGCAGGTTGGATAGGGTCATACCAAAGCCTTAAAAACGCATCAGCAAACAGTTTAGGAATATTTCTGTCAGTTTTAATAGAATCTAGAAGTTTCCTTAAATTTTAACTTTTCCAAATTGAAAGTTATTTTCCAACGAAAAATGATTAAAATAAATTTAACAAATGCTAAAATAGTAAAAATAAAAGCTGAAACAAAGTTAACGAAGTATTTGAATTAAATTGAGACTCTAAATTTTGAGTGCATTACCTCATATCTCTTCAAAGTTTGAGATATTTAGTCTGAAAATGGTTTAAGCTTGGGTTACTTAGCCGAAGTATCAAGTAAAAGGGGAGTAATGTCGTCATACGACAGTCCCGTGCACATGTTGGATAGGGCCATACCAAAGCCAATAAACGCATCAGCAAACAATTTAAGAAAATTTCTGTCCGATTTTGTAGAATCTAGAAGTTTCCTTAAATTTTTTTTTTTTCAAAATTGAAGGTTATTTTCCAACGAAAAATGGTTAAAATAGAAGAAAACAACTGGTAAAATAGGAAAAATAAAAACTAAAACAAACTTAACGAAGTATTTGAATTAAATTGAGAGTCTAAATTTTATGTGCATAACCTCATATATCGCAAAGTTTGGGTTACTTTGTCTGAAAATGGAAAAAATTGACCTAAATTTCTTGTCAGCATTTACCTTCAATTTTTAGATATTTTCAATGGCCCAATGATTGAATGGGCTTGAATACCACGTTTAGCCCTTGAGCAAATAAACAAGCCGAAGTATAAAACAAAGCAAAAAATCGCAGAGTACACCAGCCGAAACATTTCGTCACATCAATAACATTTGCATGACTTTTGTAACTGTTACATCATTGTTACATCACTATTATATAACACTTACGCATTTTCGGCTAGTTCATATACCACCATTTGATCCCTCCCAATCAGTTTTTTTGTGGTGGACAAAATTGGTTAGAAAAAAATGTCACCCTTTCGAGCAAGTTCATTCCAGTCTCTTAGTGACGTGGAGAACTATTACTTATGCGCCTACAAAAAGTGTTTGAGCATAGATATATTAGCTTAATAGCTAATAGATCCAACAACAAGTTTTACAGCTACGAAAATAACCATACTATGGAATGGAACGGACTTAAATTAACGTCTCTATATGAAGACAGTTCGTGGAACAATTTACAAATGAAGGAATCAGTGATGAAGGGACTCCTGACTGTAACCTCGGTTACTATGATACTTTTGACCTTCTGGTTACATTTAAAAAAAAGAAAAAAATTACAAAAATGAAAACATTTTTCCATAGTACAAACAACAAATGTATCATCCATCTAAATTTAGAAAAAATATATACATGAATTACCAATTTCTCAAAACAGAACTCGAACTAAATATTGAAACCATAACCGGGCAACCCAAGAAATGACCTCATTAATTGACAGTTAAAACATTATTCTGGTGTGCCTATATTTAATTGAAATGTAGTACTGGTGTCAGAAAAAAAATTAAGAATCCATTCGAAGATATGAAGGAAAGCATCTCCTACAATGAAAACTATCGATTTGAAGCGGGCGGAAAAAATTATTTTAGGTTTATGGGTAGAAAGCTACATAAATAATGGCTGAATGTCTTTGAATTAGTCTGCTTTTTTTGTATTGACTCGATAAAAGGAAGTTTCAATTCTTTAACAAGTGTCTTATTATCGCTCACAAGTGTAAAGACTTGTAATTCTTTCACAAGTGCATAGACTCGCGAGATAAGAACCGTTTAGAGATGGTAAACGAAAAAAAAATAGTTTGATTTTTAAAAAAAGAGTCATGCGCTAAAACTTGACACAACCGATTACGAAAAGATGTAAATTTAAATATTCAATTAATGGATGGAAACACCAAAAAACGCACGTGCAATATAGTTGATGTTTTTGCCTTTTGATTTCTACATTTTGAAAGAGAAAAATCTAATTTTTTTTCAAGTATACCTACGGGTGAAGGCTTTTTTGCCCCCATTGAGTAAAACCAAGTCATGAGTCAACAACAACTGACGGAATCTCAGCTACCAATTACTCATGAAGTGCTGATTGAAACGGAGACAAATTTCAGAAATGCGCTAACAGCAAACAAATCGACGACACAAACAAAACAAATCCAAATAATCAAAATCATCCCCCCATTCTCGAGAGAAATTGTAAGGTCAGCTGAAAATCTGGCTCAGGCATATCGAAGTTGTGCTTCCGATATACTTAAACAATTCCCCACAACAATGCAACAGAAGATGACAATCTCAAAAACAATAACCGTGACGAAAGATGACCGCAAACTTCATACACTGACAGTTATTGCTCCCCCCGAAGCAGAGCAATTCATAACTTGCATCAAAAGCGAAGGAATCATTCTACTTAACAGGACGGTATTTCCCATGGGATGCTTTCCAAGACCCAAGAACATTTACCCTAAACTAGCAAAAATCAAATTGTCGAACTTGCCTTATGTATGCAACGATATCGAAGCGAAATTAATTCTCCAATTGCCAGAAGACATAATTCATAGCCCCATATTCCGACGTGAGACCTGTATCGTAACTGAACCGGGTCAGTATGTTTACACAGGAAGAGCAATTTTAGAAGTTAAAATACAAAACGAAGAACAAGAGAAAAAGCTGAAGGACTGGTCTTATAAATCGAGAATGGATGGCTTCAAAATGTGGGAAGGTGTAGAAATCTCGTTTCACATACCTTCACTACATGAATGTCAAAAATGCAAGATGTCTGGACGCCAAGAAAAAGGTCATCACGATGATTGGTGTAACATAGGGAACCAAATAACCAAAAATCCAAATAATCACTACCCACAAAAACCAAGCTCCAATAATGCCAGCGACGAGAAAAACGATGACGAAACAACAATCGATAAGTTTTGTGATGGTACCGAAAATGAAGAAGATAAGAATGTTGAAGCACCACCATCTGGAGTTTTGATTGATGAATCTAAAACAAACAGTGCAGCTACTCCAAGCGAAGAAAAACAAAAGGATGAGGTTCTCAACAATCAGGTCGTAGATTTTCATTCTTACTCTGCAAAAGAAAAAAAAGACAAACTAAATATCGAAAATAACAAACGAAAATGTTCCTCTGACGGAAGAATGCTTACAAAAAGAGAGCGTGAAACTTCACCAACCTCTTGGTCAGTTTTAACACGGAAGAAAGGGCCAAAAATGAAATCTAAAAATAACGGAGAAGACTTGGTTGGAGGGAAGTTTTAGCAAAATTTTTATGTGCGAAAAACCAGATATTTTTTCCGTTAATATTTTTAGCATAGGAAATCCAGCTAAATTACACTCACTTATCAAAAAATGCCATGTTTTAAAAAAATCACCCAGTTTCATTTTGTGCATTCAGGAAGCAAAAATTTCGAAACTTACAAATATACATTTGAGTTTACTGGATAAATATAATGTTTTATTCGATTTCATACCGGGCTCAAATAATTCTGGTGGTTTCTTAACGTTATGGTCATCAAACTTGAGTCCTGCTAAAAGAATTGCTTCAAGTACAGGTTTTCAATTGTTAAAGTTTGTCAAACTTGATTGGTTTGTTATCAACCTTTATGCGAACCCAATTTCATTCCGAGCAACTTTGAATTCCCTGAAATTAAGCATCAGATTTTTACCTAACAAATCGAAAATTATCATGATGGGTGACTTTAATGCGCTGAGTTATGATAATATTAACAGTTCTTCAATACTTAAGTTAAATGATGCACGTATCAAACGATTTACCCAACTCAAAGAACAAATTCTTGACTGTTTTGGTTTTGTTGATTTTGCACTCAAGAATGATTTTTGTGATTATACACATTATGACAAACAACATAAAACTTTTGCACGCATAGATTATGTCTTCATAAAATTCGAAACAGAGTATGATTCTATGCAAAGCATTCAAATATCAATATCTGATCATTTGCTCTTACACGTTTTTGTTAAGCCATCTAACTTGTATCAGCGCGGCCCTAGTTACTGGAAATTAAATGAAGAAATTTTAAACAACAACGCCAGCTTAATTCGTGAAGACCTAAAAAATTTTTACGAAAATGAATCACCAAGTAGTTACGAAAACTTTAAGCACAATTTTCGTGACCTTCTGAAGTTTATTCAAGAGAACAAAAAGCGTGTAGATCACAAAGAACTTAATTTATTGAAGTATCACGAAAATGTTCTCAGAGATTGCATTCACAGCGGAAAAGGTCCGAACCCTAATTTGATTGAAAAATATCATTTGGTGCTGGAACATCTTCAAAAAGTTTCCAAGGAAAAAGATTTTTCAGATTATCGAAAAATTCAGAAAATACTCAGCTATACATTCGAGGGTGTTCCCAAATTTTGTAGTCAATGGACATCAAAGAACACAATTAATTCAATCAAGAGAATTCAAGTGGATCAGAACGTTTATCATACGGATGAAGATATTCTTAATCAATTTCGAAAGTATTTTTCAAATACTTTTTCAAATAGTTCTACAACAGACTCCGATCAACTACTAAAGACATTTTTATCAAAAAATAAACTCGAAAAAAATGAGAATGATGGCTATAATTACTTTACAGAAGATGAAATTCACTTGGCTATAAACAAACTGAATTTGAAAAGTTCGCCTGGACCAGACGGCCTTACTTCT